GGGCGACCCGGGCCGCAGGGTGAGGGTGCTTCGCAGCTGCTGGCTTCCTTAGCAGCGCACCGTGCTCAGCTCGAGGCGACTGCGGGCGATACTTTGATTTCGGAGTTTGTGGTTTGCTGGAATCCCGCAAACGTTTCTTTCTTCTTTTACCTCCCGAGACTTTGACGGTAGACTTAGTATTGGATCGTGTCGGTAGGTGTTTTTGTGAAAGTTGTGTTTTCAACAACTGATCATTTTTTTTTCTCTCAGCATTTTAATATTGGAAGGGAAATATTGAGAATTTGGAGGCTGTGCTCTTTAGCACAGGGAGCTGTAAAATGCCATAACAATTGAACATCCTAACCTGTGCCAGGTTTGGTGGTGCACACTTAAAATCCCAGCCCCCGGGAGGCCGAGGCAGGAGGATTACCAGGCGTTTGAAGCAGGTCTAGTGAGACCCTGTCACAAAGAAACAAAGCAAAACAAACAAAAAATAAAATCCCAGCTTGTGGTGGGAGTTCAGTCAGCCAATTTTAAGAGAAGGAAATAGGCATGCCTTGTCCTTTGTAGTAGCTCAGCCTCGGAATTCCAGAGCAAAAGGCTCTGGAGTGCTGAGCTGAAAGAGCGGCTCATTCTGGAGAAGATTGCCCTGAACTGTCAGCAAATCAGGCGCAGTTCGGTGGGGACACTCTTGCTGAGTCAAACGTCCAAAGTAAGCTTTTATGAGCTCAAATTGGCATTGGATGAGTTCGCCCTAAAAATAAAGAACTTGGCCTGAGCACTTTTAAAATCCCAAAACCTTTTTGTCTAGTCGATTGCAAAACTATAAGAAATTTGTAATGAAATAAAAGCCTCACTACACTGAGCCACAGAGGCTGATGGTGGTGTGTTAAAAATGGGAAACCAGGGCTGGGGCTTTAGCTCAGTGGGTCCGCCGCGTGCCTGTGTGCACCTGTGATCCCTACACTCCGGAGGCAGAAGCAGGAGTTTGAGACCAGTCTCAACTATATAGTAAGGCCCTGGCTAAAAAAAGATCAGAAATTAGTTAAAAGTACTTACATATTATCTCATTTAACCCTAATTCCATGAGGTATGTACTGTGATTACTTCCTGTCGTGTTTTGTATGAGTTAACCAAAATTCAGGTTAACTCATTCGTTCCTGATTTCACTGTTAAGTATTTGGTGGATTCGCATTCAACCAGTTGGATTCCAGAGCCTACATTCTATGCCATTATACATTACCATCACAGTAATATTTGCTTCTTACAGACTTGGTAGGAAGAGACTAATCAGTGGAAAATAATGCTGCAAAACCATAAAGTGAACCCAGTATAGTACAATTTTTTTTAATATAAATTCTTTTCTTTTTTTTTTTTGGTACCAGGGATTGAACTCGGGACCTTGCGCTTGAGGCAGGCAGTGGAACCACTGAGCTAAACCCCCAGCCAGTATGGTACCAATTTAATGACAGTTTCCAGATCATTTTATAACAGGCACTGTTGAGTGTCGCTGAGGATGGTAGGGATGTAGTCACTCCTGTTTCTGAGGAGATTTTTTTGGTGTCAGAGATAGATGTTTGAACAAATGACAATGCAGTGTACACCGAAAAAGAGTACTTACTGTAAGTTTCTGTGGTTTCGTGGAAAAATTGAAGGTAAGCACAGTTTGGCTTTTGAGACAGGGTCTGTGGGGTCTGGCCAGGCAGCTCAGGCTGGCTCAGCTACCCTCCTGTCTCATCTTCCCTAGGGTAGGTAGGGTTTACAAGTGTGCATCTCCTTTGAAGTATTTTCCTCTCCACTAAATAGATAAGGGAATGGAGTTGAAGTTTAGCACCCTGCATAGGCTGTCACACCCCCTTAGACAGGTAGATTAGAATACCTGCTGGGCTTTGTGAAGAACAAGGTCAGAAACCAAGTCTTTCAGTATCGGTTTCCTGATCTGGTTAGCTAGAGGCTAACACTTCAAAGGAGACACATCTCTATAATCCCAGCCCTAGGGAGGATGAGGCTGGAGGATCCCAAAGAGTTGAAGCCCAGCCTGGGCCACAGAGTGAGTTCAAAGCCAGCCTGAAGAAAAGCAAAATGAAGGGTATTTTTGAAGACTTTCTTTAAATAAATGGCAGTTTATATAAAGTGGCCAGGCAAAGTGAGTAGAGCTCAGTTTTGATGGATAGAAATTGCATATTTAAACACTAAAAGTATAGAAGCAGATTTTCTGTTGGTAATTTTAATTGAAATTGCCTGTCAGTACTTAAAATCTCTTGTTTCCACACTGTCCAGCTAAGCAACCATCTCCTCATTGCCCAGAGATAACTCCATCCTAGGCTGTTAAAGGAAGATGAGCAAAGCACTGCCAGAGCCACTTGTGCTTGGTTTGTGGAACATACTTTAGGACTGTCTATGAAATAAATCTGAGTGACTGCTGTCATCCTTAACTTCTCTACCTGGGCTGTAGTCACACAGAATCAGCCTCACAAGCTCTCCTTTGCATGTACGGTGACCATCTTTTCTTAACCCCCACTTGAATGGAGCAGAATGTTTAAAATTGGGACTGCTCTTGAAGTATCTGAGAAATTAGTTCAAGCTTTATTTATCTCTCAGTTTAGCATGCAACCGTATGTAGAATGTATAGGTGTAATGACCAGAATCATGTGATTTTGAAAATATTAAATAACATTTAGGACAGCTGCATTTTTTGTGCAGCTTGTTAGTCTAATACAATTGCCAAAATGGCACAGAATATACAGGTAAATTTTCAGATGAGAGCAACTGGCTGCTTCGTAGAACAAAGTTTTTGAGCACTAGGAAAGAAAGAAAATATGCTGGATTTCATTCTGGGTAGTGAGTCGGAACTGGGCAGGAAGTGGCTGTGGTTGAAGTACTCACTACCTGATAATAATCATAACATGATTAAACTTGACATTTAATGTGAGGAAGTTAAAAAAAACGCACAGCGTGCAGCCTTCCAGTTACAGAAACAAGTAGGGCAAAGGGCTGTTAAAAGTTTATAGAATTTTCGAAGATGTGGAAGGTACTGATATTTGTGGCATGAATAAATAGTACCACTTTAGTAAAATGTCCACTGCAGGGTCTGTTTCACATAGCAAAAAAATGTATGAAACTACCTGGCACTATGTGGTTTTAGAGTTCTATAGGGTTAGGTCCAAGCCCCAGGTGTGCCATCTGTGTTCTGTGACTCAGGGCCAGACGTGTGCTGTCCTTCTTGGTTTGTAGGAAGGATTTGACCTACAGTTTTGTTTCAGTTGATAAATAAAGGGGTATTCAGCTCGTTCTTAAGTTAGCATTGAGTGTATCTTTGAAGGGATTTTTCATCTAATTTCTTAGGTTCAGTGGCATAAAATTGTTTATAATATTCTCTTCTTATCATTTTAATGTCTAAGATCTATAGTCATGTTCCCTACTCATTTCTGACTTGAAAATTTGTCTTTGCTGTTGTTTGTCTTGCCAGAGGTTACCCTGTTTTTTATTTTAAAGAGCCAGCTTTTGATTTTCTCTGTTGATTTTCTGTTCTGTTTCTCTAATTTCTATTTTTATTACTTCCTTTTCTATTGTTTACATTTTATTTGTCCTTAATTTACTGGTATTTTAAAGTGGAAACTTAGCTCATTAATTTGAAACCTTTATCTTCCTCTAAGGTTTAATGCTACACAGTTTTTTTTGTTTTGTTTTGTTTTTTGTTTTTGTACCAGGGATTGAACAGGCTCCTTGCGCTTGTGAGGCAGGTGGCAGAACCACTGAACTAAATCCCTGGCCCTAATGCTATAAAATTCCTTTAAATAGCTGGGTATGGTGGTACATGCCTGAAGTCCCAGCACTTGGGAGGCTGAGGCAGGAGTATTGCTTGGAGTTCAAGGCTAGCCTGGACTACATAGTGAAACTGTCTCAAAAACAAAACAATCAAAAAACCCCCAAAATAAACCAAAACCAAAATTACCTTAAATAATATTTTGAATGCATCCCACAAATTCTTAAATGTTTTCATTTTCATTCAAATTTACTTGAATTTAGCCAAAAGGCTGAGAAATTATACAAATTCAACATCCTTGGTTTTTTTTCCTTTGTGATTTCTTTGACTCCTTTGGTTAATTAGGATATATAAGTTTCTAATACATGGCAAATTTTTTTCAGTTACTGATTTCTAATTTCATTTTATTGTAGTCAGAGACTATAGTGTGTGATTTGAATCATTTTAAATGATTTATGGTCCGAATGTGCTCTGTGCTTTTAATGATCCATGTGCACTGGAAAGAATGCTGAGTGTGGTATTCTA